TCTGGCTCATCAGAGTTATGTGAAATATCAAACACCAGAAGTGATTTTGGGAGACAATTACATGGCAGAGCAGCTCTAGGAGTGACTTTGAGGAAGAAAAAGATGCAAGATAAAGTGTGTTCTAACTGTATGATCCATGTAATACTGCAATGTAATGTAATGTAACATGAAAATAATATTACATGTTTACTGCAGCTCTTCCATCACATTATCGTCTCCTCAAAATCACTTCCTAGATAGATAGATAGATAGATAGATAGATAGCTTCTGCTGTATTTTATTTAACATTTAATGTTCTTTTGCAGCATTTTTCTATTTGCTTGTGTTTTCTTAAGTTGCACTGCCCAACAGTTTGGTCTACAATTGTAGCAGACATAAAGTAAATATTAATATTTGGTGTTACCATTTAATGAATACAAGTCCAGAATTCACTCCTTTTAGCTCAGTTTTGGTCTTCACCAAGCCCTGAGTGAAATGTGTACAAAAAAAATGCAAAAGCTGCAGGCTGTTGGTGGATTTGTCACCATTAGTAACCACTTCCTGCTTTGCTACAAATTTGCCAGGGTTATAGATACAGTACATTGTTTCCATAGTCTCTATTTGATACTTAACTAGTGGAGTAATGGTCAGAAATGAAAGCTATCTAAGCAACAATACTCTGCCTCTTTAAGGCTGTCAAACCTTCCAGGCACTTGGAAAACAACTGACACAACAGTCTGACATTTCGACATCCTCGGGATTGAAAGATTAAAGTGATGAGCCGTCACTTTATCCAAAGCGGTGGGGACTTCACACCGGCTGCTTCATTTACATATTAATTGATAGATGTTAAAGGAGTCCAGAGCCATTTATCTCCAAAGGAGTGAGCCATTTTGATGAGCAAGACCCTAATACTTTTTGAACGTTTCCTTCCACAATGTTTAATAATGTGCAATTCCATCCAGTCAGCAGAGTTTTGGATTCTCTAGACTGCCAATGTCAAAATGTTTTTAGATAACATGCAGGGGGTCATTGGTTTGAGGGGAAAAAAAGGAAAAAAGGCAACATGCTATGACTCTCATAACAAACTTTTCTTCGTGTAAGTCTCTACTAGGTTAAAGGACCTTTTACCTTTTGAACAGGGTCTCGATGTGGACAGGTGAGGGTGCGTGGTGGCTTCCAGCAAGGCGCACTAACAGTTTTGTTGTTCTTTAATTTATTGGAAAGCTCCATCAGCAGAAATGAGCACAGGCCTCCCCAGTCAATGCATTCTTTCTCCTTTGAGGTGTCGCTGTCCAGGAGGAGGCCATTGCGCTGCTGACTGAGAACCACGCTGTCAAACAAGAAGCCATATTCCTCCTCGGACCCGTGGCCAACTGATGCCCAAGCAAGATCGATGAACTGAATTCGGGACAAGGAGCGGGATGCACCTGAGAAGTCCTGCATTCAACAGCAACAGGATTGTGAGACATTGCACAATCTTGGCACACAGCTGAATACAGCCAACCAGTGCAGTCCCAGCATCAGCAAAGTTGGTCAATCATGAGTGTGGACTATGTAAAAGATGGAAGTAGCTTCATGCTATTTAAAGCCTCCCTTTTTTTGCCCCAAAAGTACCTCCACTTTAAAGAAGTCCATGAGCACTTTAACCTCAGTAAACAATGTCTCCAATCTCTTTGAAACTGTTAGCTAAAACTAGTGCATCTCTTAGCTTTTATAGTAAGGTATAAGACTAATGCCTAAGGTTAGTTTCAAGTCTCAGTTATTGAAGCAAAGTATAAGACTGACAGCTAAGACTAGTTTCAAGTTTGAGCTATTGTAGTATGGTGTAAGGCTAATAGCTAAGATTAGCTTCAAGTCGTAGCAGTTGTAGCAAGGTGTTCATTTTGTAACATATGTACCCTATTTAGAATGGAACACCCACAATAAAGCAAGGTGTGTTTAAGACTGTGGCTACACTGTGACAGGAAATTGATGCAGTTCAGGACATCACAAATAAGCGACTTACTTCCAGGTGGCTACCTCCATCTTTTATACATCAGTTATGAGAAGAACCCAAAGATTAAGGCAGTACTTGAACAAATTAACTTAAAACCAGCTGTATATACTCCAGTAAACTAAAAGTAGATAGATAGAGAACATACCCAAACCCTATGATTTCTTAGTAAATCCCTGAAGATTCCCTTGTTTGTATAGCACTTCTAATCAGATCTAAAGGTATGGTTCTATACTGTCAAAATTGGAGATAAATAATTTAACCCTGTTCTTTAAATGTGAAATAAAGGTGCTGTATTACAAGGCTGTCAATAGACTGACTTGAAATCAAAGACTCACAAGGAAAAGGTTCTGTAACTTTCTATAATCCTCAGCGTTCATTCTGCTTTCAAGCTGTGCCACCTCCATTCTCGTTCCCATGGTTACAGCTCAGACCTGTCAATCAATCAGCAATAAACCAGGTAAGGTCAAGGAGGTAAAATGTGTGTCTGTATGTAGGTTGGTGTGGAATAGGGAATACACACACACACACACACACACACACACACACACACATATCACTCAATAAAATAGATTTCCAAACGTCTATGTGTTACATGACAAAACAAGATGCACTCAGAATAATCCCTCAATAACCTGCCATATCTATTTCACATGGGTCGTCATGCCATCATGATCATAAAGCAAGGTCACAGCAGCAGCTTATTGTTGCCTCTTTTCACTGTTGGATAGCGTGCAAAGGTTTCCGCTATTTTCCGAACTGCCAGACTTTAGGAAGTAGTCAAACAAGCCCCCTCCCCCAAAAAAGAATTTCTCAGAAAGGCAGCGGGTTGCCAGAGCATGTCGAGTCTGTCATATCCGTTAGTGTGAAATAAAATACAGTCAGATAGATGGAGAGAATAAAAGTGTGAATAAAAGGGAATGATTTCTGAAATTGTTCTGTGCTGAAATTAAAAGCGCATTTGAAGTCAAAGGGAGAAAGTTTCCTTTTAACTCCAACTCTCCTACAAAACACTCCAAGGGGCAGCGGGGCGGCAAACACTGTTTCATTTTTAGCATGGCATAAACGTTTATGAGACAAATTCACTGGATGTGGCATCAAACCGAACAGAGATTTAGATGACAGGCTGTGTAATGAAAGCAAAGGGAAAATAAATAAATAAATCAATGCTTTGCTGCAGCTATTATCTTTTTTTTATAACAGTGATGAACTGCAGTGTGATCTTGACATGATAGTTAAACCAGACAACAGGTTCGCAGTAGACCGCAAGATGACTTTATACTACTGTAATATTTAAAAGAACGTCGATACTCATGGGACAATTTCTTCACATCTTGTTTGTGAGCGTGATAACTTCTAATCAACCACATCCTGACTTGTTTTGTGGCACGCCGCTGGCTTCAGTCTGCATGCGACTGCACAGACGCAACTCTATAAAGAAAAATGAACACAGAAAGCTTGATGTGCCGTCTAAATTGCTGCTGCTTGAAAGGTAAGAGGCATTTCTTATGAATGCATCCACCTCTGGGAAAGACTCCTTTTGCAATCTTTTAGCAAACACACTTATCAGGGTTGCCTCTCCTCTTCCTGGATGGTCACTTTTGCTCCAGTTAGTCCTCTCCAAAACTGTCACTGTAGTACTTCTGAGTTTTTAAAAGAACATGCAGTTAACTTGTCCGTCAACAAAGCATCTCAGCTCCTAACTGTGTAATGGCAGACCTGGCCTCCCAGTATACACACACCTCAAGTCAAGCATGTTTTCTTTTCAATCACAAAGTTCAAACAGTGAAACCAAACACAACTTTACACTTAATAACAAATTCAAACTTACCATTCAATTTCACCTCTCATTCTGTCATGGGTGTCTGTAGTATGTTGTCCCAAAAGTCCAGCTCTGAGGTGTTGGAAACACCACTTTCAAATGTGTGACATTTCAAACAAATCCTCACCTTTTGGCTATTCCGTCTTAGCAATGGCTGCCTCTCGTCTACAGGAGACTCGGCCGATTTGTGGCTGAAGTTTGTGTCCAGAGGTTATTCTAAGCTGGCAACGTGTATGAAGCAATCAATGCCAACAGCCCTGACTGCAGGCACACACACCCACAGAGAGTTAACGAACTGCCCCCCAGTAGCCCAGACAGTGGCAGAGGCCACACACACACACAACAAATCTTTTATTATGCTTCACTCTTAAAGACTCGGGCTAAGTTTCCTGGCAACCGAGTAGTCAAAAAGAGTTGTGAGAGTTTGTGAGTCCAGGCCTATTGTCAGTATGCGTGCGCGTGTATCCTTTCTATTCTCAGATTCACACAAAGATTGCACGGTGACTGATAATAAAAGAAAAATACTGATGTGAACCTGAACAAAGATAAAATACACACAAAACAGCTTTACAGCATCATTCAAATGCCTGTGAGAAGGCATCCTGCAGGTCAATTGTTGCTATGCACACACAGACGCATATATATATATATATATATATATACACACACAGAGAGAACAAAGTATCTCAGGGATTTGTTAAACTCAAACAAATCGATAGCTCGTATGGTGGAAAGCATCAAACAGTAAATCCAACAAAGATGTAATCACTGCCCTTCCTTCCTGCTGCTTCAGTGACCATGGCCAATCTCCGTGTGTGACTTAATGGTCTTCAATAACTCGAATTAGCTGATTATGGCGGCCGTCAACAGTGACAGGATCGGAAAATTAGGTCTCAGCAATTTCAATAATAAAGCTTTAAAAATTAACACTATCACAATTGGATTACAGTGGTGCATGTAGGAGCCAGCAGAGAGCCCAAAATAGCCCTCCACAAATCCACCATGGAAAATCCACTATTATACAGGGAGAAGAATGAAGTTGCTGGAATGGGAAGTAGAAAGAAAAAAAAATTGGTATGGCTCTTAGTTCTGGGAGGAAAGAGGCGCAGTCGAAGAAAAGAGAACGCAAGGGCAACTGAGCGAAAATGAAGCACTCTCATACAACAATACAAATCTGAAGAGAGACCCACTTTTGGAAAAATCTTTCTCACATGTCAGAACTCTTTAATTTGCAGGAGGAAGAAGAAAAGTGGTTTAACTCGTCATGACTTCTTTAAGAGTTCTCAAGGAAGTTCAGGTCCCTTCATTTTATTTTCACTGGCCTTGAAAACGGCATGAAAACTACAGAGTAGGAGTTGAACAGAAGGTGACAAAGAGACAATACGTTCATAATCAGAGACATCTGTGTAAACATGTGAAGGTTAAGTCGTCACTCATTTGAAAAGAATTGAAATCTGCAGCTTTGGAGTAGTAACGCTCTAGCTGGAAACATTAAAATACAAGACAGCGAGAGAAGTCCAGTTAAGTATACATGTATATACACATGGCACATATAGATAATACCTATGGGGAACAACAAAACATTTAAAGGTGGCATCTTGGTCTTTGGCAAATCAATCAAATTACAAATAACTACAAACCGTATTGGCTGGATATTAGTAATTGCCAAAATGATAACTTTTAAGGACTTATATGCAATTGCCAAACTTTTAAGGACAAGGGAAACACTGACATAATCTGAACAGAGTGGAAAATGCAGAGGGGAGCGTAGAAAATATTGACTTAAGAATCTGATAAAAGAACAACATTAAAGAGAGTAAAAAAAAATCCCCAGCAATTACTGTCAGCCTGACTTGCTTTGAAACTCGAAACTACCTGATCTCCCCTCAGAGCCACAGAATTATAAATACAGCCCCCCCCAAAAAAATAAAAAAAAATAAAACACCTTTACAAATTAAAAAGCCTTGTTTCGCCTGTTCTCTAATGAAAACGCTTCTCCTGTGTCTGCGCGCGTCTGTTCTTCGCATCTTCTCGGGCCGCCGCCGCTGGGCCGCCAGTCTTGAAGGCCCGCATTATCATGTTGATTTGGTGGGTGAGCTGGTTGGCGCTGACAAACACATTTACTGCTCTGGAAACAACCGGAACAGAAAGACAAGGACACACGTGTCACTCACACGGGGAGAAAAAAAACCCAGAAAAGCGTGGCAACAATATTAGGATTGATCCGGGGAACACTTTGATCTGGCTGGAATAGAGAATGTCAGGCTTCAGAGAACACAAGCCAGGATGGATCCACAGGAAGTGGGTCAAGGGAATTATTCAGCATTGGTGGATTTGATGGTAGCGGGCCTGTGATCAAACAACCACCATTTACATGGGTGACAGTGGGTGTGCGCGTGAGCGTCTATGCAAACAGGCAAGGCGTGCAGGCGTGGGTGGGTGTGTATGACTAGTGAATGCGTTGGTGGCTATGTGTGCGGACACGAATGAGAAAAGGTTGAAGATGTGATGGAGAAAAAAAGAAAAGGGGTAAAAAATACACTAGAAACAGTGTCTTACTTTCCATCTTTGAAGTAGGTTTTGAGAGTGTCACTGAAGCTCTTGGAGTATTTCACAAACTCTTTCTTCTGCTGTTCCACCACCTAACCAATAAATACAGACAGCCTTTCAGCTCCACTTATTTCACAGCAACTGTGTTTGTGCGCACAGGCACTTTTTTTTTTTTCTTAAACTTACTAATGTATCCACTTACCCGTCTGTTCTGATGTTGGTATTTCCTTAAGACAGTATTAACAGTGTTTAGCAGCTCCTTGATGGCACTGGCAACATCTCTGCGGATGACACGCACAAGTGAGTGCATGTTAGAAAGAAAAAAAAAATATAGAGAAATCTTCAAATCTGTCTGTTTTTATCAGGCACTGATACCCTGAAACTACAGTCCTTTGATCCAGCTCGTTGTCTCCCCTTTCTTCCCCCTGTTCTCACAAACACGCTCTCACCTTCAACTCTCTTTCTCTGTCTCTCTCTCCCTCTCCCCTCGCATGCACTTGAAATCTGCCGTTTCATAACTTTAATTTCTTAGCATTCCCTTTGAATTGATTTTATTTCTAAGCCCTCCGCTGGGTAAGTAACTTAAGCACTGACTCACTAAGAGTATTGAATTCCATCAAAATAATGGCAAAGTGGGCCAAGAAGATGAAACATCTCTCACTTTCTCTCTATAGCGTGCGTGCAGCGCGGCGGACAGGGACGTTAATAGTTTCGCCATCACTGCTGTGCACACTGCTCAACCTTTGAAAGGAATCTTACGGCTTAGAAACAAAGACATGCTCCGGTTGGCCAGTTGGAATCAAAGAAATGAGAGCTATGTAATGCCAGGCAGCGTCTTAGTGCATATAATGAAATATTAATTGGAGAACAGTTACTAAAAGCCAACTCTTTCACTTTTAATCAACCATCGAGATGTTGTAAGTCAAAAGGGCTTGCTTTCTGCTACTTTAATCACTTAATCTGATCGAAATTTTGCACGTAGTAGTGAACCTGATTTACGTCACACTGCAAAACACGTGCACATTCACACACACAGCTGTCTTACTTGATGGTATGTAGCAAGCCCATTCGGTCATTGATCTCATCAGGCAGGGTGCTTAGGATGTGTTTCAGAGCTCGGGCCCTCTCGTTCAGCTCCTGGAACTCTGGCTCTTTCCTGTCAATCATCAACTCTGAAAAACACCGAGAGGAAGAGAACAAAAGACAGAGCTCAAACTCCTCGCAGCAATGGGCACGTCAGCACGCGGGCAGAACTCATGAAATTAATATTGGTGACGTGTTAAAAACCTATGTCTACAGTGCAAGTGTGAAAAATGAACATAGCATCAGGAGTATGTGTACATGTGTGTGCACTCTCTCTCACACACACACACACACACACACACACACGTTAGGGACAGTAACGTGTTGAGTTTGTTAAGTGAAAAGCCGGATTAAGGTAGAACTTGGGATGTGCCATGCAGGAGGTACATTTAAAATTCATCCACTGTGTGTGTGTGTGAATTCATTACTACCATCAATCACTGTACACTCGGCACAAGGAATTCAATTACAGACAGAAACAAGGGAACAACTGAAAGCAGACAGAGGGGTTGATTTGTGTGGAAACAGCTCCCCCCAGTGGATATCTGTGCTGCAGCAGCACTGGGCCGTCACAGAAACCAATGAAAAACCAAGTTGGTATTCCCACAGCTTTCATCTTTAAGTGCACATTCTGGTCTACAGCAGAGTACCAAAAAAAAAAAAACAAATAAAAGAAACCAAACCTACCCTGCATATCATCTCCAGCCATGCGAAGCAGAGCCTCGTTATAGTTAATTTTTAACTTCTTCTTTTCCAATATTTTGACAACAACGTCCTGGGTAAGGCCCGGGGTCTCCTTCTCTGCCTTGAGACACACAAACATGCAGCTGCTGAGGACTCACAGTCACCCTTGGTGTTTTGCGAAAATAAAACTATAATCAAAGTTATAAATCACTAAGCTGCTGTAAAGAGGATTTACAAAGTGAAGGGTACAGGCAGAGTCGATACAAGAAGGATGGCAGTTGAAATGCAAGCAAACAAACTTTAAGAGAAAACTTTACCTTTATAAAAGCTGTTCTCAAGGTCTGCGCTGCTGATAAATTGATCTTCTCCAACTGCAAGTTGTAATACACAAACACACAAGAATAAGCCAGAGGTAAAAACTAACACTCACACTCACACAGCTTAGCTCTTACCATGGCCTCTCGACCTGTGCTGAAATGTAATTCTGTAAAAAGTACATGAAAGCTAAGGATCCCACCATGTTAAAAGAGGACACAATGATGCTGAGATGTGAAAATCCGTGTGGACTGAATTGGATTCTATTGTTAACCTCGAAAGAATCGAAGTGCATTCAGTTCCTCTGAGCTGATATTTTGGCATCAGGCAGGTCTTTGCTTCTTCAGCTCCAGATCGCTGCTTGTTGGTTTGCGCACCGTGAAATCGATCGTTTTTCAATAAGATAATTTCATACTGTAAACAATAACACCTTGAAAGCACAGCAGAAAAACAATGAGAGCAATCAGGTGTGACAAAAGCTGAAATTAGCAAATTGCAGAAACCAATTTAAGCCAGGGGATAACTGCCGAATAGGTTTGTGTTAACCAGTAATTTGCTTTTTAAAAAAACAAAAAAAAACAAAAAAACAAAATGGGTTTTAAATTTTTGTTATGTTTACATGTACATTTTTTAAATTCCTCTTTATTTACCACAAATTCCCCCCCTTAATACTCAGAAATCCACAAGCAAATGCTAAATAACAAAAGACATAAATGAAAGACATGATAATGGGCAAATAAAAAACAGCAGCGCACCAGTATATCAGTGAAACATGGCTATTAGCTGATATTGGGGCTTTTGACTGCTTTTTTTGCAGTTCAACGACTGAAAAATAATGTAAAGAGCTGAAAGATTTTTTTAATATGTTTCATTATTTTTTAGATGCAAACAAAAGCAACCTTTTTGGGCTTAAGGTCAAGGTCAAGTTTATTTATATCGCACATTTCAAACAGCCGATGCTGCACAAAGTGCTTAACCATATAAAAATGGCATTAAAAAGCAACAATGTAATACAATAAAAACAATATAAAACAAAAATAGGACAATAAAAGAATTAAAACAATAACTAAAACTATTTAAAATAAGACAAAAATGCTTGGGTCATATTGTGTTAAAAGCCAGGGCATAGAAATGTGTCTTTAGTAATGATTTAAATTGCTCAAGTGTTTGTGCAGATCTAATATTTAGGGGGAGACTATTCCAAAGTCTGGGACCTGCCACAGAGAAGGCTCTATCACCACGAGATTTGAGATAAGTCCGTGGGATGGACAGCATTAATTTTGAGCTAGCTTAAAGGTGCAGGTAAATACAGGTGTTACTGATCTCATTAGTTAAGGCTCTTGCCTTAAACAAAACAGAACCTTCATTAAACTACCTTAAACGCTTACCAGCCACTTTATTAGATACTCTCATTAAACTGCTCGATAATGCAAGTGTCTAATCAGCCAATCACATAACAGCAACTCATTGCATTGAGACATGAAGACTTGGCCAAGATGACCTGCTGAAGTTCAAACTGAGCATCAGAATGAGGAAAGAAAGGTAATTTAGGATACTTTGACTATAGCCTGACAATTGTTCCCAGATAAGCCGGTGTAAGTATTTCAGAAACTGCTGAACTGCTCCCACCCAAAAAAAGAAAGAAATAAGACATATCCAGTGAGTGGCAGTTTCTGGGCAAAAACTGCCTTGTTTGTGTCAGAGGACACTGACCAGATTGCTTTGAGCTAAAGGGAACTCAACAATAACTCATAACCACTTATTAAAAGGTATGCAGAAGAGCAAAACAACAAACCTTGAAGCAGATGTGCTACACAGCAGAAGACCACACTGGATACTACTCCTGTCAGCTAAGAACAGGAAACTGAGGCTCCAGTTCACACAAAACTGGTCAACATCAGATTGGGGGAAAAATGTTGCCTGCTTTGATGAGTCTCAATTTTTGCCACCACATTTGGATGGTAGGGTCAGAACAACATGAAAGCATGGATCCACCCTCCCCTGTATCAACAGTTCAGGCTGGTGGATATTAGCACCCTTAGTACCAACTAACATTGTTTAAACACCACAGCCTACCTGAGTATTGTTGTTGCCCAGGTCCATCTCTTTTTAACCACAGTGTACCCATCTTCTGATGGCTACTTCCACCAGGATAGCACACCATGTTACTTGAACATGACCATAAGTTCTCTGTACTTGAATGGCCTCCACAAGAAATAGAAGTTAATCAAATAGAACATCTTCGGGAGGTGCTGGAATGGGAGATTCCCCTTATGGATGTTTCCATGATCTTGTTGAATCTATGTCTTCAGAACTGCCTTAATTCTTTGTGTCAAAGTGTATCTGATGAATTATCTGGTGAGTGAATGTCAAGACAAAATGGCTGTTGGGAAACGGATAAATTCCCCATTTTAAAAACTGTTTTCAACTCCTTTTCTGGGTCTTTAATGATAACAAAAGAAAAAAAAGACTATGGAAAAGTGTAACCTGTAATCGTGCAGGTGTGATACACAGAGATGCTTCACATGGATTAAAAAAAAAAACTTCAGAGATACTGACAGTCACTCAGATTTACCATCAGATGAACAACATGAGTAGTAGCTAGTAGTAGCAGTCTGCTCACTTCTCATTACCGCTCGTTCTCCACCACTTGTTCTTGTTAACACTACCGTTTCCGTATTTCTATTCGGCTACACCATCAACTCTGCAACTTCACACAAAAGGCCTTTCCACAGTTAAATACAACCCCTGCTTGAACTATTTACCAAAAGTCTCATTCCAATTTTCTTCTAAGGTCACAAACTCTCTCTTTTTTTTTTTCTTTTATTCTTTACCTCCTTAAAGACAGGAAACATCACGGTGTAGAGAGCCATCGGAGCCAGCGAGGCAGCAGCTGCATCATTCTTCATGTCTCCCATGGTCATCCTTGACCAATCGATGGACCCCTGTGCGTGCACTCGTCCACTGATGCCGGTTTCACTGCATTCAATCAGTCATGAAGACTGACAGAATGGGAGCAGACAAGGATCTAAAGAAGAAAAGAGCACGATGGGAGAACAAGCAGGGAAAGATGGATGGTAGTTGACAAAAACAACTGTGTAAGGGATTAAAAGAAAAAAACTAGATAAATAAATAAAATGATCCATGTTTACAACCAGGCTAAATTTATCCTGTTTAAACATGTCTCTATTGTAGTGAGGAGGTAGAGAACTGGTTCCTGGAGCACTCTAATTTTTATTAATTTTTGTGCAATTAAACAAGATCAAACCCCATGTTTACTTCTTCCAAGAAAGTCTTTCAGTCACAGATATGATCATTCTATAACAGCCATACCGCTTAAAAGACTGTGCTTTACAGCTCCACTGGGTGCAATGCCGACAAAACAGGCACGAGTCACACCTGTGCCAGAAAACCACGCTCTTCTGAAAATGACTGCTGCAATAAAGCAAGGCGGTGTGATAAATATACAACCTTGGTATTGGTTTTTAGCTTGTTTTTCCCCCCAGACCAGGTTAGTCATAAATAAAAACAAGAGGAAGATCCAGCACATCCTCTTTTGCAGGCCTGTATTCTGTCTCTTTTACTGTCGGGTACACAGGAACACACACCTTGCACATCCAGGACCAGTTTTTGCTCACCTACATTTTTAAGTACGTAACAGCTTCAATGGCTCTATGTGACAATCTTCATTCGTACAACAAATCCCTAATTAAAAAGGGCAGGTTCACTCCTTTTCATACGAGCTCACTATTCACGCAGGTGAATGAAACAAGAGCGAGACAAGTCGTCACCCTGTGACTTTCTGCCATAACTGAGAGTGCTCTTAGGTTTATCAGATGCTTGGTTCTGCCCTTTGGCACTCGCTCTTGCATAGAGAGTAAAACTGTAAACAGGTCAAGTGTGACATTATTATATCTGATAAGGATTTTAAAAGGAGGTTTAATCAGTGTTTACAACAGCCATGGTTACAGGAAGGATTGCACTGGTTTCTAGTTATAAGGGATACGTCATATACAATTATATGTGCCAAAAAAGGTAACACTGCAGACTCTGTTACTTCCCTGAACCATAAATTACTAAGGTGTGGCCAATCTTAGTGCAGGCCAAGACAGAGAGGTAATGGTAGCATTTGGCACATATATATCAAATGCAAACCAATCATTCAGTGTCTTCCAGGACAAAAGGTTATTACAGCCCCTTCTGAGTCATTTGCATAGACTAATGCAGCTCTTCCTGGAAATAAAAAGGGGGGAGAATAACAAAAAAGTGATCAGAGCAGCATGAATATCTGGGGCAGTTTAAAGCCACCGGGGTGGCTTTTTTTTTTTTTTTAGAGTTCTCTGTGAAATGACCCTTGGATCAAAGAGAGGCATATTGCTCTGAAAAGGTTACGGTCATAACTCACTATTGACATTTATAAGTCAAAGTATTATAATTTTTTTTGTTTGTTTGTTTTGAACTCCCTTATTTTGCCCTTTTCTGAAAGGGTACCGACCTCGCTGTAGTAGTCACTATATTTGAGGTTGCCCTGCTTCTCAGCTCCATCACAGATCTTTTACCAGTTTATGTGGTGGTTAGCAGGCACGCCAAACTACATTACAAACAAATCCAAAGAGCTCAAAGTTTCGGTACCAGCCTTACCTGATAAAAGACGGTTGCCAGTGATGAGAGAAGCGGCGGACCGTTGACCGGAAAACAGCAAATCACGTCTATAGGTAACGAAGTAACGTTAGAACAGCAGCTTCGAGAGCAGGTGATTCAATCTGTTCTGTTAGCACTCCAGTTGCCTCCTTATGAAGTGCGACTAAATAAAGCTGAATGGAGGCGGGGACGTGTTGTTGAGTTATCTTACCGTCTTGTTTTGGGTTGTGTCTCGTTCAGGAAGTTTTATTGTCTAATAAAAGTGCAGACGAGAGCCAGGTTGGGCGGTGTTGGGAGCTGCCCGTTGGCGTCGCTCCAGGCTGTTTGTAGTTCTTTCTATGGACGTCCTCAATGTTTCGTTATTGCCGGGGACACCGAAATAGACTTCAATTCCCAGGTATGTACAGGTAATGGCTTTTTAACCCTTAAGTCGAGTATGAGACGAATATTATCTGCGGTATGAGCGCACACATTTTAACCATGTTTAAGAAAGCACATAAGAAGAAAATACCTTGATATGTATGTGTATATACGTCTACAGTTAACATTTGTGTCTACGCGTCTACAATCAACATGATACGAATGATAAGGTAGCTAGCTATCAGAAGAACGAAATTAACGGTTTTCACGACGGTCAAGAGAATTCGCTGCCAAAAAGCTAAAATATCGTCAGTTGCGCAGAAATGCCAGGCTTAATTAAAGGTACGTTAATACTGACAGGATGCGGCTGTTAACAATTATTAGCATTGTACATTACTGTAGAACGTTGTTTGCTAGGGAAACTGTGCTAACCGCTAACCTCCAGGACCATAATTAAGCTGGAGGTTAGCTTTTACAAACAAAGAAGCAAAACAGAGAGAGAGATGTGATACATCTTTGCTATTTCATAAAATAAGCAAGAGGCTGTCGTGAGAATGGTCAAAAAATATGTTTGGAATGAGAGTAACTTAAAGCTTTACGGATTCACAGACATACAAGGAAGCTGGAGACAGTTACTATTTCACCTCACGCCTGAACTCTTTGGCCAACGCTCATTGGACCAATCGGCGTGGAGTGGGCGGGGTCTGCGGCAAACGAAGAAACAGTGAGCTGCGGAGGAGAGCAGCAAAGAGAGAGACCGCACTTATTCATCCTTCCATCCCAACCAACCGTACGCCCTTTATCGGTAAGAGCCGTTTCTGGCAATAATAAATATATATACATATCTATGGTTCAGGCACAACGCCGGCGCTGATTTATGTGAACCATATTGAGATAAGAAAACCGTAAGTGCTCAGCTTTTGCACGATAACAGAAGAATGTGATATTTCTGAGTTTTTCCACTGGAATTTCTGTTTATTAAGCTGTCAGGAATGAGTAGGTGTAATGGGGCATTTTATGGACTAGTGTAAAAGGATTATGATTGCTGTAATCAACATGTGTGGGCTTTTAATAGGGGGGGCGGGTGGAGACGCACATTGGAGCCAAACGTGTTTTTTCCCAAGCCCACACTGATTAAAGCCGTTACCCGTGTGTCCACTACCCAGGGCTATTTAATTTTCATCGGTGGTGCATGGTTAAATTGTTGTAGTTCTTGCATGTTTTTTGTTGTTGTTTGTTTTTTTGTTTTTGAACTGAAATCAGCTTCAGTCGATGTGTTGGGGTTCTTGTCCTTGAAATATAGGCAAAGGCGCATTGAGTGAATGTGTGTGAAATAACGAGGCAGATTGTAGTAGCTTGGTCCTGCCTTATCCCTACCCCACAGTAACACACATACACACCACTTGTTATTCCTTTAATGCAGATCTCTGTATATGTATGTGTGTGTACATAATGGCTTTGATCGCCATCGATAAGTCAAATTTATACCTACTGTCTGTTTTATTTATATGTTAAATAGCAGTGGACAAAAGAAAGACAGAAAAATCTGGTCAAACATTGCAGTAAAAGATGGAATTATTGCAGTATGATTAGATTGCACTAAAACATTTATGATTATTATTATTTTGGTTATTTTTCTCATGATATCACGTATTCTTGTGGCATTTATGTGAGTCTAGCAAAGCAAAAGTCCGCAATAAATATTTCAGCGTTCCTCTCTCTCATGTCTCATTCTCTCAATCCACCTCTCACATCTGCTTATCTCTGCCACTAAAACAGTGACTTTTCTAAATCCTCATTTAGGGAAACAGGAAAACAGAGTATCCTTTTAGGTCATAATCTCAATGTATTAATCCCATATGGATTTGAATCACTGGTTAATCCCCGCTGATAGCCTGCTGTTTGCCCCCCTGTGCCTGCCTACGGTTTCAGCGCTTGCATACATGTGTGTGTGCGTGTGTGTTCTCTCTTTTCCCACAGAGCACTGCATTAATTGCATTTCAATAATTAAATGTCTTTCAAATCGTCCTAGCGAAACAAAATGAGAGAGGAGGGAAAAGTAAGTGCCTGGGTTTGAACGGCACAGCACGGCGAGCTGTGATTGCTTGTGTGTGCGAATGCTAACAAGAACCTTACAAATCTATATGTGTGCAGGACTGCTGACGTGCATCTGTCAGCTACACGTGTGGCTGCGAGAATAAGGAGCAGTAAGGAAGATACTCTGTTTCCTCAAGCTGGGCTCAAGCTTGCTATGTGCTGCCGTGTGAACCATAAGAAGAAGTTTAACATCTGTGTTCTGCAGTACATGTCTTCGCCCCACAGTTACTGAGCACACTGTGCATGCAGTGCACTTGTGCGGCCTTTCTTCTGCCTTTTTTGTTCTGCGTAAAATAAACTCGCACACCGAAGCACGCTACCTGCATATACGCTTTCAAGCCGCAGGTTTGTCCCGAGTGTGCTCAGCGGCAGCAAATACACAGGATATTTAGCTTATATTTGGACAGATCTGAGGATGAGGGAGCAGAAATATTACAAGAGAAAGAGGTCAGGTGAGGGGAAGACGTCAAAACAACGGAAATAGCTCATCTTAGATTTAGGTAGCAAAGCTGCCAAAAGCTGGCATCCCAAATTAAATGCATCCATGTTGGAAAGCATTGAAAACAGAGGATATTAACACCTAAAGCTACCTAAAATATTGAGGTATGCTTTTAAAAATTTGAAAACGATTTAAAAATATTTATCTGCAAGTGTGAGGATTGCATACAATTAAAGGGTTTTTTAAAAATAATTTTATTTTGTTTCATTTAACAAGTGTAATACGTACCTGTGTTTATACACTTGTACCCTGGAACTGATCTGTTGATTGATTTGTGATGCCAAGTGTAGAGGAGAGAGGATGAGTGCAAGTAGAAGAGCTATCTGAGGAGGAAAATAAAATGGTGACAGTCATTTGATAACCCAATCTATATGCAAAACACATACTACTCACAAAGTAGACTGCTGCTTTTGCACCACTAGCTGTTCAGCAGGTAGTGTAGACACAGGACGCATGACCTCACCTGGGTTGAATGCAGCCGTCATGAATGCACCTGTGCATTTCCTGCTATCCTGTGTCTCCTCTGAAAAAACAAAAAACAAGATTTTTGCATTGGCCAGCTTCTTCTTCTTTTTTTTTTTTTTTTTTACATCTGTAGTCAGAAGACTTTAACTCAAAATCAGTTTAATTTATTCCCTAAATGTTTACACCTGCAAGCTAACAGTTTCGAAACCTTCATTATCACTCTGCCTCTCGGCAGCCTCGTCACAGCTTTTTATTGAGGATCACCTGCCTTGTCTCTTTTTTCTTATCTTTGTTGCCACTCCAGATATATGGGCACTGCTAGGTCTGTAAGTATTTGGACAACGACACATTTTTTTGTAGTTTTGCCTTGTTTTGTAAACCAAGCCATCAATATGGGATTAAAGTGCAGACTTTCAAAGCAGTTTTTTTTTTTTAAGTTGCATTAAATGTGTTGAAATTCTGACTTTTTTTCCCAGAGATTACAAGATGTTAATAAGACAAACTAACATAATTGTAAAAATCCCTTGCAGTCATCAAATGCTTCAGTTTCCCTTGAGATGCCAGGCCTGTACCGCCTTCAGTAACTAAAAGCTATGCACTGTTGTGCCTGACCTGACCATGGAAGAATATCCAGTTTCACTGCCTTAAAAAAAAAACCCTGGACTGCTTTTGCTTTGGATCATTATCAATTTATATTGTGGAGCGCTGTCCAATCAGTTTTGCAGCATTTAGCTGAATCTGAGCAGAGAGTATAGCGTCACCTCATCAATAAACAATAGCTGCCCAGCTCCACTGGAAGCCATATAGACCCATATCATAACATCGCGTTGTTTGACAGATAATATGCATTTCTTTCCTTCTCCATACCTTTCTCTTCTCATCATTCTGGTACAAGTTCATCTCGGTTTCATCTGTCCAAAGAATAATCTCCAGAGCTGTGTAGGCTCTTTCAGATATTTTCTGGAAAAGTCCAGTCTGGCCCTCTTGTTCTTCAGTTTAACCAGAGGTTTGCAGGTTGTTGTAAACTCTGTATTTACATTCTTGAAGAAGTCTCTTGATTGTAGACTTTGACAGTGACAGTCCGACCTCTTCAAGAATGTTCTTGACTTGGTTAGATGTTGTGAAGATGCTTAACCTAACCATAGAAATAAATCTGTCATCATAGTTGTCTTCTGTGGTCTTTCAGGCCTTTTAATGCTGCTGAGCTGCTCAGTGCATTCATTGTTTATAATATTTAATATTCCACTGAAAAGCTACCAAATGCTATCGAATCAACTCTAGATTTCTCATTTTCTTAATTTGTAATAAAATAATGAGGGAGCAGGCCTCACCTAACCATGAAACTGCTTGTCAGGAAATTGTCCAATTTACTTTGGACTCCCTGAAAACCGGCGACGGTGGATGAGAACGGCTGTAATCCATAAACAGCTAATACAGTATTTTTCACTAACATCCTGAATGTTTTCTTTAAAATGCACTGTAGCGATGCACAGTCCCAAAGCTGCACAAAAATCGTGTCGTTGTCCAAACACTTACGAACGTGACTGTATGTGTACGCTTCCCCCACTGGACTAGTTGATAGTGACCTTTCCTGTGCTGTAGACCATTTGAAAAAGCCCCCAGTCTTTTCACTTTTACCGCTGACCCCAAATAAAGGCCGATCCAATTACAACTCAAACCTTCTAAATGTGCTCCCACAGCACCAGAGTGGTGTGTGTGTGTGTGTGTGTGTCCTGATATGGACGAAGAAAAAGAGACACTGTTTAGTGTGCCAGGGCAGAGTGTGGGGAGCAGTCAACCATCTTGCCATGCCATGCAGGGGGCCGTGAGATATGACTGGCTCCGACTGCTAAGCTACCTCCATGCAGCTCCTCAGTACACCTTCTGCCACAAACATATTTGTCTTTCTGTTTTTATTTGTGTCTTCTCCTCTTTTGCTAATTTTCTACCAAAAAACGGTCCTTGTACCCCTCTGTGAGTGTGTGTGTGTGTCTGTCTGTGTATGTGCTTCTCCCTCTGGATGTCTCTGTTAGCAGGGATTAATAAAGAGTTGTTAACCTCTGTTTGCCCTCTGTGGAGTGTGCAGTGAGCATCTTGGGACTCCAGGCAGCTTCAATAGCACAGTGTGTCATTACTAACAAGGCACTGGATAAGCTAATGTTCTGACATTAGCCATGCACAGGCTACATTCAATCACATGGCAAACAAAAGTACCACGGGAATGGTTGTGAACTGCAGGGCCAGAATTAGAGTGGTGCTTAACCAAACTTAAGCATAAGTAGGTGCAATCAGCTTTGTTTAACAGTTACTAAATAACAGTGACTAATAAGGTGTTGCTACAGCACCGACTGCTGTGTCATCATTGTGGCTTGCACTCTCAATCATACATAACCCATCCTTCACTAATAATAATGCTATAAAAGCAGCAGACAGATTTGGGTAATCAGTCTTGAGCCTGTGGAAACAGAGTTTTCCTCTCCTCTGTATCCATGTGTAATACAGCACAAATCTTCTGTTCACTTCTTAGTTACAGAAAGAATAACAATCTGTAACACATTT